GGATTAGGTTAAATGCGTTTTAATGCGCCAATGGAATCCGGCTATAAAACTGTATAGAAGCGCTGCCTGTGCAGCGCCTACCTTTGGGCATTTGACTAGTTGATGGCGGTCGGCTCTAAACAAGGGATTTGTGACAAATTTAAACTCACATCCCACAAATCGATAACCGCATTTAAAAGCTGTGGCTCATCACATACACAAAACATTTTGAAGTGTATACTGCGAGAGTAATATAAATAATTTACCCACTATTTTGGCTGTTAAACAACAACAACAAACCTTAGGTTGCAGCAGATTCCTTGACATTATTGCTTACGTTTTCTTAGTGAATGCCCAAATTTTTACTGTCAAGAAGAAACATTTAGAGGTGGAACTGAAAACCATCGCATGACTATCGCATAAATAAGTCCTTCAAAGTTCTTTAAATTTGGGGGAGGACTAACTGAGATTTTTTCGGAACTGGACTATCCGTCAACGGGTGGTAAATGAATCTCTGTGAGAAGATGCTATTACGCGAGTTTCTTTTCGTTATCGGAGTAAACGCAATAGATCAGAGCTGTTGTCTACACCTAGCACACTCAAGTATTAGCGTTTGAAGGAAAATTAGATTTGTTTGATTTGATTTGTAAACGAATGCTAACAAAATCTGAAAAACAAAATGATCAAACGCAGTTTTTTCACAACGATTTGGCTAATGCTGTTAGAGATGGGGAAGCGTGTTATTATGTTGAGATGGGCTCCGATGTCTTAATTTTATTCGTTATTTTCTCGATATTTATAAAAAAGCAGGGAACGTTATTTTTATAACAGTTTAAAAGTGGTAAGAGTCGCACTTCGAAAAATTCGGATACCATTTTTTCATAAGCATGATATAAGCATCGGTAAACTAGAAATGCGTTACACGTTTCATCTTGGACGTTATCTCACCGGCGCTAATGACGCACATAGTTTTTACAGCCAAACGCATAAGTCAGGGTTTGCTCAATGTAATCGCGAGTTCTGCCATATTAATAAACCAAGTAGATGTTTAAAAAAGTTCGAAATTAACGCGGGTTCTATAGTTCCGAAATCCTAGAGAAAACGTCCCAAAAAGAGGTGCTGAGAATTTTGATAGATTTGTGATTAGAATGTTTTAAAGGCAGTCTTTTTACCATCAAACTGTTTGAAAAATACTTTTTTCGGCTTGAGAGAACGGATCAAAGCTCATCTGAACTTGACATATTGCTGTTCATATTTAAGAGAAACTTAAGTTAAACCTTCTTCCCAAAAAGTCCATCCGTGGGAAAAAGTTGGGATTTTTGACAAATGTGAAACTCCAATTCCCACAGAACACATCCACAATCAGTAGCTTATCAAAACATAAACAAATTCAACAATCCTGGTTTTTGTTCTGCTGTTCAGATCAGCTGTTTTCGGATGGTTGATGTGCTCTGTGGGAATCGGAGTTTCACATATTTCTTTTCAGGTATGGACTGTGTGGTAAATGGTTGCACTTAGTCCTAGAAACACTATCGGGGCTTAAGTTTCGATAGTAAGGGACAGGGGTAAGCGCAAAAAAAGTTGTTCATCACTACATTTGGCGATTAAAAGCATGTCTCGTGTGGCAGTTTATTCAGTGTTGTCACATAAGCGGCTTTCTTCCTAGATTTAGGAGTTTTTTGACCGTCTAGGGGGGTTTTAGGGGAAAGTGGCACTGTGTACTTTAATTTAAAAAAAAATTAAAAAATCAAAAGTTACTAATATGTAAACAAGACTTTTAAATATCAAATACCAACTATAATTTTATGTAAATATTTTATTTGTTTTCGTCTTTGTATACAAAATTTGTCCCAAGGAAGAAATACATTTTTTTTATTTATAACATGTGAAGAATTTAGGGGGACAACAGGATTGAGGAAAATCTGGGCTATGCGAGATTATTAAGGAGGCAAGCTGATTTTTTATCTGGCAAAACTGTTTTTATAGGTCCAAATGGATAAATTCGAGCACAGCGCAAGACATTTTAAGTCTCCAAAGCAAAGCATGATTATGTGTGAATACTGATATTAATTTCGTTCAGGCACGGATTTAAGCAAATCTGAAGATATCATATCACGGAGATGAGCTTCACTAAAGCCCAAGAAAGTCGAATAGTTGACATTCCTCAACATGATCTTCTGGATCCGAAGAAACATTGACTTATAACTTGTAACCTGGAACTTTTTATTTTTAGTTAGCTATGAACAAGTTACATTTTACTTGTGTGTCATTGCGTAAGGACGTTAAAAATCAATTATTCATTAATAATTAATGTTTTTTTCGTTATATGCAGTGCTTTATTATCCCAAGTTATCCAAATGGATAAATTTGAGCACAGCGCAAGACATTGTAAGTCGATCGAGGTTGAAATGCAACTTTGATTATTTAGATTATTATAATTATTAAAAAGAACACTAAAGGGTTCACGCAGGCCAAAATTTGAGGTACATCTTGGCAAGTTAAGAGCATGGTAGTTGCGGGTTGTTCTAAAAGGCACTTTTAAATTTAAGCGGCTTACCAATTTTATGGAGTCAATATCACCTTGGACAAGATTGGGCATAGAAATAATTATAAGCATGATTCTACGATTTACAAGAGTAGGTAAATTAAGCAATAGTAATCTACTAGAGTAAGAAGGCAACCTTGCGTTTCGATCCCAGTTCAAACCGCGAAGGGCTAAAATTAGAATTTTCGGTTCAATATGATCAATGTGTCCTTGCTATTGGGAACTCCAAAAGGGAGCGCAATATTCTAAATTAGGACGGATTAGGCAAGTAAAAAATTATTTAGTTGTATAAGGATCGTCAAATTCTTTTCACCGTCTAAGCGATGGTCCAAGAACACTTATAGCCTTGTTAACAGTAGACTTTATGTGACACATGTCAAATTTTGTAACCATGTTGATAAGGTGATATAAGTGAGGAACACAAATGTTGCAAAAGAGAAGTAATAATGAGCTTAAATGCTATAGATATTGCAGACAATTTATAAATACCTCTATAATTTTGAACATTCGACTCTCCTCCCTTTTTATGGAGTGGAATAATAAAAGAATTTTTTCATATAGTTGATGTTGAGATAGACAATTGAAACAGTTTAAGAATTGGTGTACGAATAGTTGAGGCATAAAACTTAACCACGCACCCAGGAATCCCGCTTGGCCCTGGAGAGTATGTTGTTTTTGTAAGTGCTTGTTTTTAGGTTTTTAAGTCTTTGAAGCTTTTATGTAAGCCACGGAGGTCTGTTATATCTTGGATGAAGACTGTCAGAAACGAATTCATTAAAAATGTGTTTAAAACGCTGTAGAATAATTCAGTGGCACTTTATATATCCATGCAATTGTATAAGTTTGTCCAGCTGTATTCGGAAATCGAGTAGCTTAGCTTATGAAAGTTGCATTTACGGAAGCATTTCGTTTTAGTTTGAGGTATAAGGGCAGGCATGGGAAATTGACAATTCCATTGTGGGATAGTCTCAGTCCTCTGGGACAATCATTTCTATATACAACGACCTCGGACGGATCCAAAACAATTACAAGATCTAAATGCCTATTTAAAGAGTTACAGACAAAGTTAGTTTGTTGTAATGGTAGGTCTAAAAGTCCATAATCAAAGTTATGATCCGACAAGTGAGTCAGTAGGTATATTCAGTAGATATATCTGGTAGATTAAAATCACCCAAAACAATCAAATGATACATGTCAGAAAGAAGAGATAAAACAGATTTAATAGCAGACAAATGATGATAATAAAATATTACAGAGAGTTACTCGTGCATTGTTACAAAAACAAACACAAAGAGCATTGGCAAAGCATGCACAAGAGAATGAAAATGCAATAGCAATGCACAGGTATTAGGCAATTTAAAATAAAATATTTAAAACTCTTATAGTGAGTAAAGATACATATGAAAATCCTAGTTCCAAACACTCATAATGCAGTTTAGGTAAACTTGGTTAAGAAAAAAGCAACCGTACTTTAAGAACCGATAACAAGCGACGCTAAATCGAATCAGATTTGGTAGGCTAATATTTAAAAGTTCAGATAACCAACTAACCACTAATTCATAGCTTTAAAAAAAACTAAAATTTTAAGACTTACCGAACCATTAACCGGAGCGCCGATTTATTCCGCAAATAAACCGGAACCGAACCGGGACTATTTGTTCTTTATCGAGGTTCGTTCAAGATTAAAATATAACCTTTTTGAAATTTTAATTACGAATTGACAAACATTCTATATATAGCGGAAATGTGTTTTCATATTACTATTAAAGATTTTCTTAATCTTAGATTCCTTGTTGAGCGAAAAAGAAATTTTTTGTGGTTTAAGTTGTCGCAACACCCTTAAGTGCTGTGGAAATCGTGTTAACCTTCCAAGACCTTCATCTCTTTTGACTGCGTCTCTGGTTCACAGAAACAAAGAAATTCTTTCGCGCCAAAACTTTAGAGTTGCTCCGAAAAAACATCGGCTTAATACTGGCTACAAACGTGCGGTTAAGAACGTAAATTCCACTGTCTAGGAATAACCGCGAAATTTTTGGAACAGCAAAACCCCAAAGGACCATCTTTGAAAGAAATTTTGGATGGTGGTCCCATAGATCACATAGAGCAGGCTATAACTCTTGTTCGAGCCTGATCCCTGTTCCAGCATATCGACAAACCGGTTCGTAAGCTGGAACCTTATCAATCGTTAGGTTCGAACACCGAACCAAAATCAAATTGAAATGGCTTTACATCGCTCCCAAAATATCTCAACCGTTTCGCTTGGATGAGCTCTGTGGGACGTGGTCTATCATACCTCTTCACTCACTGTTCATTCGTGGGAGAACGTATGCCCTCTTGCCCCACAGTCCATACGGTGGAAACGGTTGGAATTTTTGACAAATTTAAAACTCCGATTTCCATGTTGAATGTTGAAAATTCCAAGCGTTTCAAACGAATGGAATGTGTGGAAAGAGGGCATTAGATATAAAATTAAACGTACAATAGGTTCAATATAAAATATTCCGTGATTTTATTTTTGTTGTGTGTTGCAATTGAAAGCTATCGACAGGGGAATATCGCCCTAGGAGATGGCAGTGTGACCAGTTTTTCAAAGGTTGGCAGGGCCAAGAAAGGGAGGGGAAATGTGGAGAGTAAGAGGCGCTCTGGTGAACGGTCAGGAAAGAGAACCTTAATCAGCTCTTAGATTCCACCACCTCCCCTGGCCCAGAAGTATCTCCACCCACACCAAACCATGAGGAACTGCACCCACACCGATAGCTGAATGAGAGCCGAGCGGCTACGTGATGCAAATGGAAGAGGTTTCTGCCGTTGGCGAAAAACCGAGAAAGGGATCAGGGAAAAAAATCGGGTAATGCTGGTACTGGGCAGAGGGTATAAATAGGGCTGAAAGGGGTCAGGCCACCACGAGTTCCCAAAAATTTTTACAGCAGCAAGTGGTTCGGGAAATTTGTAGTGAAAATTAATAAATATAATATTAAAAGTAAGTTAGATGACGGGGTAGTGGCCATCAATCAAGATAATATAATGTACATCTTCAGAAAAGGAAACGGGACGAGTTTGGACGACGAAACAGGACAGGCAACCGGGACCGGGAAAAGATGGCACCGTCAACGAAGAAGTAAGTCCGTTCCAAAGAAAAAATTTGATATAAAAAGAAAAAAAAGGGAAAGTAAATCTAAAATTTTCCGGTTAAGATCACCGTTGGCGAAGTAAATAAATAAATAAAAGAAATAAAGATAATTATACGATATTTGGACCACGTGCCACGAAGAATGATTCCTTTAATCATTTACATACCTAAAACCTTTTGAATTAGCCGCACCACACTGGCACGGGCTTTGTTTTCGTTGAAATTTTTCTTGTCGACTATAAAACATTATTGCTCTACAAAAAGTTAAAATATGAACGCAGCATTGATGAAAGACTTAAAATAGTTTTTAAGTAAATTAAATAAAACATTCCCTCTTAATATTATTAAAAATTTCGTTCCAATAATTTAAATAAAAGTCGTTCGTCCACCTTAATCTAAGTTTATATGTTAATTTATTGAATTATTTATGCACCACTAAACTTATATATCCCACATACATACATCATATATTGTTTATTAACATATGTCTATATAGAGCATTTCTAAATAATATAAGTAGTATTTGTAAGTAAAAAGAATTTGATATAATCAGAATTTCGCGAAACAAGGAAAAGAATATACATTGCATAAAATTACATATGTAAATTTGCGGAGGTCTCGCAGCAGTTTGGATATAAATTAGCAAGTAAAGTAAATAACCTACACAACTATATGCGAATGTAGAAAAAGGAAAAGTCTCATGTTAATAAGTTTAGAAACACCGAGATAAAAATGATCTCAATATTAAACCCCTGGTTGGAGCTCCAAATAGGTAGGGTAATTTAAATGTATAATTATGAATTGATCAATATTGATATATTCGTATATGGCTCAACAAAGGTGTAATGAAAATTTAAATCAATTTCAAAGGAAGTGTTGCCGTATGAATTTGACATCGCAGCTGTAGCAAGGGGATGCAAATATATGAGATAATTTAAATGAAGATATAAAGCAAAAATTAAATATGAATGTTTATGGTTAATAATAAAATTGTAACGTGAGGATGTTGTGCTAAGTGTTCGTCTATGGGGAGGGGGAAATGAGACGGACCCTGGAGTAGGCTGATGATAGCCATCGGAAGGGAGATTTGGCGAAGGATGCATGCCGGATCTCAGGTAGGGTGGGGGTGTTGGAGTACATCACCTAAACTCCAAATTGTCCAGTGCAAGTAAAGTTTCCAGTAACGTCCAATGTTTATCATTATTTATCCTATTTTTGTTTGCATCTTGTTTTTGTTTACATTTGATCTTATTGATGTCGTCGGACTGAGATGGCCGATCAGCTGGGCTATTGTGCGGACTGAGGGCTGGGAAGAACCCCACCACGAGATGGACTGGCTAGCCGGCCTTGCCCTATCGAAGAACCAGGTCCGTAACAATAGATGGCGCCCAATTTAAAGGCAGGAGTGGATTCGCTGTTCCTATCATCCAAAGGGTTGAAAAGGATGCGAATTGCACACCGGTGGGAATTATAAATAACCAGCCGAGAGGTAGGATCTCGGAAGGGACTTGGTGAATCGGGTACCTCGGTGACTGATGGCCTATGAAGGACCTGATGGTCGGTTCATAGTAGCGCGGTGCCGGGGGGATCTGGAAGCAAAGATACCCCAAAGTAAATGTAAACATTTTTTTTGTTGAAAGAGATTGGTACGTATCTGACGAACGGAAGAGGGTGCTCGGTAAGGGTGGTTCGGCACTAGCAGGAAATATTTCTTCGGCTAGTTAGAGACTATCTCGATGCCTGGTGTGCTACTCGAGCGCCTGGAAAATAAAGCAGAATAATAACCGGAATCAGATATAGTCCAAATAGGGAAAACTTCCCTTACTTACCCGTAATGAGGGCAGGATGTGGAATATCGATTGTGAGTGGCCCGTGGGGACCAGAGAAGTCGGCCACGTGTTGCACTCATGGCGGCTCTTCAGTCCTAGAACAATCATTTAGTGATGTAAGTAAGGGGAAGTATAGATTATAGAATGGCGCCCTTGACACCTAGTCTTATGTGGAAGATGGGATGGTCAACAGAGCTCACCGAGAAACTTGTGCTGAAAATTGAAGACACTGAAATCCGGGGTGAAGTTGGCTCCGGTGAATGTTGAGTTTTTCCCTCCTTGTTGTAGTTGTGAATTTTCGTTTGAGTTGTCATTGTGTGTTGTGGATGCGCAGCCGGTTCAAAACTATAAAAAAATGTAAAGATAAATATTAGTAAAACATCGAAGTAGAGATAGATTAGGAAAAGTTGATGAGCAAGTATTTTTTAAGGTCAAAGGGGAAAATGGTAGACAGGACTCCTCCGTCAGGGAATCCTCGGAAGGAGCATCAAGAAGGAGACGATGACAGCTGGAATTTGCCAGTAGCATCGAAGGTCCTGCCATCAGAAATCACATCGGCTGTCAATGTGGCCTTAGCCCAGGCTCAGGAGACGCAACGAGGAGGAATGATGGAGTCCATAAGCCGATCCTTGCAAGAGGAGATCCGGCGCGGGTTTATGGAAGTGATGATTGCCGTTACCGAGGCAATGGGACCATTGAAGCAGCAAGTAGAGTTGCTACAGATGCAGGAAGTAGCGAAGGACGGAAGTGATAGCAGGCATAGCAGCAGGCAGGACGAGAAGGACAGGAAGAGCACTGGAACTAATCAAAAATATTCCACAGGCGTACCTCCAGCTTCGCCGCATGCACAACGTTCGCAATCCCTAGATACAAAACAGTATTCCGCGCAGAACGAACCCATCCAGAGATCTCCTAGGTTCGAGGATGGGCGAGCCTTGCGTCAGCAAGCGGAAAGGGAGTCCGAGGGTAGATTTACGAGGTGGGGACGAGTTGAAAAGTGGGAGATATACTTCGATGGAGACCCAAACAAAATGATGGTGGAAGATTTTGTTTTCTGGGTTGAGTTTCTTCGAAGGCAAAGTCGGTGTTCCTGGGATGAGGTCCTCGACAGTTTTCATCATCTGGTCAGGGGCAAAGCGGCTGAGTGGTATTGGCAATTTGTTCGTGAGCGACCGCCCGAGGTTTGGGAAGATCTAAAGGACGAAATTGTGGCCAGAGGCGTCGGTGGTGAGTTTGAGCGGCTACGCGCTCTCCATGAACGGCGACAAAGACCTGGGGAATCAGTCGAGGATTATTTCGGAGCCATGCGGCGATTATCTACCAGACTTACCCAACCCATGTCGGAGTTCGAAATGATCCGGGTGATTAAGAAAGGACTCGCTGAGGATATCGCTCGGTATGTTTACGCAGTCAGGGTACGAAGCATGGAGCAGCTTCGCGAGGAATGCTTGGAAGTGGAAGACACTTTTGTCAGGCGAGAGCCCAGGCCAGCATACCGCCCGTCGCAGAAGTTTTCGTCCTCTGGAAAGAGAGTCGAAGAAATCATACCGGAATCGGAATCGCAGGACAAGAAAGAAGATGTGATTATAGAGGAGGCTCACCTGTTGACCAAGCAGAGGATATGTTGTTGGAACTGCGGACAGTTTGATCACGTGTTCCGCGATTGTGTGGCCAAGGAACACAGAATCTTTTGCTACCGTTGCGGGAAACCGGAACACTTTACTCCGACATTTTCGAATTGTTCGGGAAACGGCCGACCAAGCGTGACGAAAGCAGGCGAGCAACGCTTGGGCCAGAAACCTGCGTGGAAGTAGATGATAAGGAAGAAGAAAATTATCAGTATATTATTAATAAACAATAGCTTTAAGGTATGCGGGGAGTCAGCCGCAGGCTTCTAAAGACTCGTTCCCGCTTTAAGAAGAGGCGACAAACGCGCCAGGAGGTGGCTGAAGCAATCCAACGTGGAACGAGAACGGATCCAAGGGTTTTCGCTGAGTTGACCATACACGGCCGGAAGATTGCGGGACTGCTGGATACAGAAGCCTCCGTAAGTCTACTGGGCAAAGACAGTAGGGAGCTGATGGCCAAACTCGGGGTAGAGATGGACAGATATGTGTCCGTCGTTAAAACAGCTGCCGGCGAAGACAGATCCATAATTGGAAAAATAAAGCTTCCTGTTGTAAATGACATTCTCTTCTACAAATGCCCGTACCTGGAACAATCGATGTACTTGGGGAACGATTTCTGGAGATCTTTTGAGTTGGCTCCAGCAGTTCTAGGCGACGAAAACAGCGAATCCAGTCACGCTCAAGTAGCTGAAGTCAAGATGTCCCAGATCAGCCACTATGCGGAAGATAGAAGACAAGAAACGGAGGTAGAAGCTTGGGACCTGGGAAAGAATGAAGCTGAGGAGTTGGAAAACGTGAAGAAGGAATTTTTGACTTACGAAGAAGCCGGGATAGGAACGACTGCAGCAGAACAGCACCAGATCCAGCTGGTGGAGGGCGCAGTACCGTTTAAGGATCGTTGTTACCCGCTATTACCAGCGATGCAGGAAGTGGTCTGGAAAGAAGTAGACAAAATGGTAGAGCTAGGGGTTATAGAGGTTAGTGACAGTCCATGGAGCAATAGAACAACGGTCGTGCGAAAGCCAGATAAAAACAGATTCTGCTTGGACTCGCGGAAACTTAACCAGCTAACGGTAAAGGACACCTACCCTCTCCCGAGTATCGAAGGCATATTGTCTATGATCGACCAGACATATTATATATCTAGCGTCGATCTTAAATTTGCGTTCTGGCAAATAAAATTGGAACCGGAAAGCCGGAAGTATACCGCTTTCACAGTATCCGGACGTCCACTTTACCAATTCGTGATGATGCCTTTCGGCCTCTGCAATGCGGCCCAAAGATTATGTCGACTGATGGACGAAGTCATTCCGACACAACTACGATCAAACGTATTTGTCTATCTGGACGATCTTCTATTGATAGCTCCTGACTTCCAGACGCATCTGCGATATCTTCGTTTGGTAGTACAATGCCTGAAACGAGCAAATTTGACGATAGGGTTAAAGAAGTCTAAATTTTGTTTCAAATCTTTAAAATACCTTGGGTTTATCATTGGAGGTGGAACGCTGCAAATGGATCCAGAAGGGGGTGGAAAGCAGCAAATGGATCCAGAAAGAGTCTTTGCCATACAGAAGGTTCCTGATCCGAAGAACGTAAAGGAGTTACGAAGCTTCCTAGGTACAGCAGGGTGGTACAGACGATTCATAAAAAACTTTGCATCCATTGCAACACCGCTAACTGACGCCCTCAAGAAACATCCAAGGGGCAAGTTTTCCTTGACTCCGGAGGCTGTCGAGGCCATAAAGCACTTAAAGATGGCGCTAACTACAGACCCGGTATTAGTCCATGCTGATTTTAAACGTCCATTCTTTATCCAATGCGACGCCTCTAACTATGGAGTGGGAGCAGTATTGTTCCAGTTGGACGACGAAAATTCAGAGCTGAATAAACATCAGATTTTGTATTCCGTCACTGAAAAAGAATGTCTGGGAGCGGTATTAGCAGTTGAAAAGTTTAGGTCTTACGTGGAGCTGATGCCGTTTACTGTGATCACGGACCACGCAAGCCTAAAATGGCTAATGTCCCTCAAGGATCTAAACGGGCGTTTGGCAAGGTGGTCTTTAAGGCTTCAGAGTTTCAACTTTAAAATTGAGCATCGCAAGGGAACTGAAAACGTGGTTGCTGACACCCTGTCACGCTGCATAGCGGAGCTGAGTTTCGATTTATCTGATGCCATTGGATTTCAGACGACAGAATTCGAGTCCGCGGAATACCAAGAATTAAGAGAAGAAATTAGTCGAAATATAGCAACATTGCCTGATTTACGCGTAGATGGAGGATTAGTCTTCAAAAGAACGACATTCGAACAACTTGACGACCAAGTAGAAGGCTCAATTTGGAAGCTGTGGATCCCGGCAGGAATAACATCTACACTAATAGCGAACGCGCACGAGGATCACAAAGCTGCACACGGGGGGATGAAGAAGACACTTCATCGTCTGAAACGTCATTTCTACAGGCCGGCTATGACGACACAAGTGCGGTAGTATGTCCGGAATTGCACCAAATGCAAGGAATCAAAACCACCGAATTATCGTTGTCAAGTTGGAATTGGTCAAGAAGTAGTCACGGAACGGCCGTTTCAGAAGATCTATATAGATTTTCTTGGAAAGTATCCCAGGTCCAAAAAGGGACAAGCATATATATTTGTTGTTGTAGATCATTTTTCGAAATTTACCTTTTTAAAAGCTATGAAGGTGGCGAGTGTTGGGAAAGTGGTCGAATTCCTGGTGCACGAGGTGTTTTACAAATTTGGCGTACCTGAGGTAATTCACTCCGGCAATGGGAAACAGTTCGTGTCAAAAATATTTCAAGACATGATCACGCATTCGGCATTCACCACATGCGTACCGCTGTATATTCACCAAAGAGCAACGCAGCCGAGACGGTAAATCGGACCATTCTAGCTGCAATTAGAACGTATTTAGAAAATTATCATCGAGACAGGGACCTATACTTACCAGAAATTGAAGTGTCGATCCGTGATTCCGTGCATGAGGCCACGGGTGTAACACCGTTCTTTGCAGTATTTGGACAACAGATGTTTCTAAATGGAAACTGCTACAAACTGACAAGAAAACTGCAGTCTTTGACAGAACATCAAATAACGACGCTGTATACAGTAGATAAGCGCCAACTTATCCGCGATCACATTCGGAAGAATCTTCATCAGGCATATAAACGCAGCAGTCAGCGCTATATCAAACGGGCTCGAGTTTTCCATGCCAAGCCTGGCCAAGAAATCTACAGACGCAATTTCACTCAGAGCAAATTTGGAAAGATGTACAATGCCAAGTTGGCTCGAAAATATGTGAAATGCCGAGTCGTACGCCCTATAGGGAACAATGCCTACGAATTGGAGGATCTGGGGGGAAGCCTGTTTTCCACGCAAAAGACCTAAAAATGTAAATATAAATAGTGGATGTAGCTGTATACGTACACACGCATCCTTACATAGATACCTAGGTAGCAAAACAAGAGTCTAGTGAGTGTAGGCCTACGTTGGGCACAAAAGGCAAATCGGGGGCAAGGCAGGATAGCAAAGTTGTTGTTTTGATTATTAAAAACACTATAGACACAATTTCACGGCAAGTCAATCTTTCAATGTTTACAAATAATTTACTTCGGCCAGCATTCTCGCGGATTTTTGTGTGGTGTTGCAATTGAAAGCTATCGGCAGGGGAATATCGCCCTAGGAGATGGCAGTGTGAAAGGGAGGGCCAAGAAAGGGAGGGGAAATGTGGAGAGTAAGAGGCGCTCTGGTGAACGGTCAGGAAAGAGAACCTTAATCCGCTCTTAGATTCCACCACCTCCCGTGGCCCAGAAGTATCTCCACCCACACCAAACCATGAGGAACTGAACCCACACCGATAGCTGAATGAGAGCCGAGCGGCTACGTGATGCAAATGGAAGAGGTTTCTGCCGTTGGCGAAAAACCGAGAAAGGGATCAGGGAAAAAAATCGGGTGATGCTGGTGCTGGGCAGAGGGTATAAATAGGGCTGAAAGGGGTCAGGCCACCACGAGTTCCCAAAAATTTTTACAGCAGCAAGTGGTTCGGGAAATTTGTAGTGAAAATTAATAAATATAATATTAAAAGTAAGTTAGATGATGGGGTAGTGGCCATCAATCAAGATAATATAATGTACATCTTCAGAAAAGGAAACGGGACGAGTTTGGACGACGAAACAGGACAGGCAACCGGGACCGGGAAAAGATGGCACCGTCAACGAAGAAGTAAGTCCGTTCCAAAGAAAAAATTTGATATAAAAAGAAAAAAAAAGGGAAAGTAAATCTAAAATTTTCCGGTTAAGATCACCGTTGGCGAAGTAAATAAATAAATAAAAGAAATAAAGATAATTATACGATATTTGGACCACGTGCCACGAAGAATGATTCCTTTAATCATTTACATACCTAAAACCTTTTGAATTAGCCGCACCACACTGGCACGGGCTTTGTTTTCGTTGAAATTTTTCTTGTCGACTATAAAACATTATTGCTCTACAAAAAGTTAAAATATGAAGGCAGCATTGATGAAAGACTTAAAATAGTTTTTAAGTAAATTAAATAAAACATTCCCTCTTAATATTATTAAAAATTTCATCCCAATAATCTAAATAAAAGTCGTTCGTCCACCTTAATCTAAGTTTATATGTTAATTTATTGAATTATTTATGCACCACTAAACTTATATATCCCACATACATACATCATATATTGTTTATTAACATATGTCTATATAGAGCATTTCTAAATAATATAAGTAGTATTTGTAAGTAAAAAGAATTTGATATAATCAGAATTTCGTGAAACAAGGAAATGAATATACATTTGCCTAAAATTACATATGTAAATTTGCGGAGGTCTCGCAGCAGTTTGGATATAAATTAGCAAGTAAAGTAAATAACCTACACAACTATATGCGAATGTAGAAAAAGGAAAAGTCTCATGTTAATAAGTTTAGAAACCCCGAGATAAAAATGATCTCAATATTAAATCCCTGGTTGGAGCTCCAAATAGGTAGGGTAATTTAAATGTATAATTATGAATTGATCAATATTGATATATTCGTATATGGCTCAACAAAGGTGTAATGAAAATTTAAATCAATTTCAAAGGAAGTGTTGCCGTATGAATTTGACATCGCAGCTGTAGCAAGGGGATGCAAATATTTGAGATAAGTTAACTGAAGATATAAAGCAAAAATTGAAGATGAATGTTTATGGTTAATAATAAAATTGTAACGTGAGGATGTTGTGCTAAGTGTTCGTCAATGGGGAGGTGGAAATGAGACTGACCCTGGAGTAGGCTGATGATAGCCATCGGAAGGGAGATTTGGCGAAGGATGCATGCCGGATCTCAGGTAGGGTGGGGGTGTCGGAGTACATCACCTAAACTCCAAATTGTCCAGTGCAAGTAAAGTTTCCAGTAACGTCCAATGTTTAACTTTATTTATCCTATTTTTGTTTGCATCTTGTTTTTGTTTACATTTGATCTTATTGATGTCGTCGGACTGAGATGGCCGATCAGCTGGGCTATTGTGCGGACTGAGGGCTGGGAAGAACCCCACCACGAGATGGACTGGCTAGCCTTGCCCCATCGAAGAACCAGGTCCGTAACATGTGATCGGAGTTGCAACGATTCTGAACTTTCATTACACGTAAGCTTGACTTTAAAATCTACACGTATTAGCTCGACAATTTTAGCGGGATAAGGAATGCGAAAAATAACAGCAATATACAGCCTGATTCCCTTACCGCATTAGTGGACTTTTTAAATGCCTGATTCCATTGGCGGCTTAGCATTTAGCACGAATAGATGATCTGGGTTTGCTTACTTCTGATAAAAATCATGAATACGGATATCTGTAGTGCTCAGCAGGTCATCCTTAATGCTATCGAGGCATTTGCCAACTTGTGCGACGAGAAAGGGAAGCTGATGGTGTTGTTTGACTGCTTTGCAAGTGAGAGCACCACAGTTACTAAAAAGAGCTAGGATACCCGTACTATGGGAGTATTTTCCTGCCACAGATGCAGCGGGATTTGCTGCAAATTGCTATTGTTTTCAGTAATTTTTACGCTAAATTGAAATTATATTCAAATGAAATCAGATAAACCCTGCTGTTATAGAGGTCGTACTAAGGAAATGTCGTTAAGTATCAGTATTTTCCGGTATTTTTTTTTAAATGTTTGGAGCATTTAGCTTTATGGGATTCCATGTGTAAATAAACGCATTAGGCTAAATGCGTTTTAATGCGCCAATGGAATGCGGCTATAAAACTGTATAGAAGCGCTGCCTGTGCAGCGCCTACCTTTGAGCATTTGACTAGTTGATGGCGGTCGGCTCTAAACAAGGGATTTGTGACAAATTTAAACTCACATCCAATAAACCGATAACCGCTTATTTTAAAAGCTGTGGCTCATCACATACACAAAACATTTTGAAGTGTATACTGCGAGAGTAACATAAATAATTTACCCAACATTTAGAGGTGGAACTGAAACCCATCGCATGACTAATCGCATAAATAAGTCCTTCAAAGTTCCTTAAATTTGGGGGAGGACTAACTGAGATTTTTTCGGAACTGGACTATCCGTCAACGGGTGGTAAATGAATCTCTGTGAGAAGATGCTATTACGCGAGTTTCTTTTCGTTATCGGAGTAAACGCAATAGATCAGAGCTGTTGTCTACACCTAGCACACTCAAGTATTAGCGTTTGAAGGAAAATTAGATTTGTTTGATTTGATTTGTAAACGAATGCTAACAAAATCTGAAAAACAAAATGGTCAAACGCAGTTTTTTCACAACGATTTGGCTAATGCTGTTAGAGATGGGGAAGCGTGTTATTATGTTGAGATGGGCTCCGATGTCTTAATTTTATTCGTTATTTTCTCGATTTTTATAAAAAAGCTGGGAACGTTATTTTTAAAACAGTTTAAAAGTGGTAAGAGTCGCACTTCGAAAAATTCGGATACCATTTTTTCATAAGCATGATATAAGCATCGGTAAACTAGAAATGCGTTACACGTTTCATCTTAGACGTTATCTCACCGACGCTAATGACGCACATAGTTTTTACAGCCAAACGCATAAGTCAGGGTTTGCTCAGTGTAATCGCGAGTTCTGCCATGTTAGTAAACCAAGTAGATGTTTAAAAAAGTTCGAAATTAACGCGGGTTCTATAGTTCCGAAATCCTAGAGAAAACGTCCCAAAAATAAGTGCTGAGAATTTTGATAGATTTGTGATTAGAATGTTTTAAAGGCAGTCTTTTTACCATCAAACTGTTTGAAAAATACTTTTTTCGGCTTGAGAGAACGGATCAAAGCTCATCTGAACTTGACATATTGCTGTTCATATTTAAGAGAAACTTGGGTTATACCTTCTTCCCAAAAAGTCCATCCGTGGGAAAAAGTTGGGATTTTTGACCAATGTGAAACTCCACTTCCCACAGAATACATCCACAATCAAAACATAAACAAATTCTACAATCCTGGTTTTTGTTCTGCTGTTCAGATCAGCTGTTTTCGGATGGTTGATGTGCTCTGTGGGAATCGGAGTTTCACATATTTCTTTTCAGGTATGGACTGTGTGGTAAATGGTTGCACTTAGTCCTAGAAACACTATCGGGGTTTAAGTTTCGATAGTAAGGGATAGAGGTAAGCGCAGAAAATGTTGTTCATCACTACATTTGGCGATTAAAAGCATGTCTCGTGTGGCAGTTTATTCAGTGTTGTCACATAAGCGGCTTTCTTCCTAGATTTAGGAGTTTTTTGACCGTCTAGGGGGGTTTTAGGGGAAAGTGGCACTGTGTACTTTAATTAAAAAAAAAAATTAAAAAATCAAAAGTTACTAATATGTAAACAATACTTTAAAATATCAAATACCAACTATAATTTAACGTAAATATTTTATTTGTTTTCGTCTTTGTATACAAAATTTGTCCCAAGGAAGAAATACATTTTTTTTTATTTATAACATGTGAAGAATTTAGGGGGACAACAGGATTGAGGAAAATCTGGGCTATGCGAGATTATTAAGGAGGCAAGCTGATTTTTTATCTGGCAAAACTGTTTTTATAGGTCCAAATGGATAAATTCGAGCACAGCGCAAGACATTTTAAGTCTCAAAAGCAAAGCATGATTATGTGTGAATACTGATATTACTTTCGTTCAGGCACGGATTTAAGCAAAACTGAAGATATCATATCCCCGAAATAATGTCACTGAAGCCCAAGAATGTCGAAATGTTGACATTCCTCAACATGAGCTTCTGGATCCGAAGAAACATTGACTTATAACTTGTAACCTGGAACTTTTTATTTTTAGTTAGCTATGAACAAGTTACATTTTACTTGTGTGTCATTGCTTAAGGACGTTAAAAATCAATTATTCATTAATA